CTCGTTGCAGAAAAATTGTTATTTTATTCAAAAATAAATGGCTCTATCTACCAGTTTCGGTCGCGGTCTGCCACCCTATTTCATGAGCAAGAAAAATACAAAAAGTTGGCAAATTTAAAAAAATTTGACCGAAACTGGTAGAGCCATTTGTTTTTGAATAAAAAACAATTTTTTCATCAACAAGGAAAAGCCCGATCTCTTCATTTCCACTGTTATTCTTTAATATATTTCATTTTTTTAATGCTAATTTCAAGAACAATACCATGTTCCATTGAATTGTTGCAGCATAGACTGTTCAAACGCTTTTAATTTAAATATTATTAGTTTCCATTGCTTTGATAAAACACAACTTGCAGAGTTGTTAAAATTATAATGATTAATTGGCAGTTAAGTCGGGCGAAATTTACAGACATATTTTTGTTAATTTTTTATTTTTTCATACACTTTTTCATTCCAAATTTTCATCCTTCCTCTTGCCCAAAAATTTGTAATAACAATCGTTCGCCAAACAACATCGAAGGCGGCGGATTGACAGTGGGGCGAGAAGTACTCGGTACTCCCGGTACTGGTACTCAAATTGAAAGTACTCAGTACTCGAAGTACCGGGTACTCAAGTGCTCGAAAAAAATTAAAAATTTCTCAAAAACCTTCAGATATAAAAAAAAGGAAGAAAAAAAACACTGTTACGGGTCAAAAATAGATTAAATTTGAAAAAAAAAATAGGTGGTCCAAGACTTAGTGTTCCTAAATCAGCTTCAAACAATCGAGAAATTTGACCCCAAATATTTTTATTGGTGGATTGAAAAATGAATTTTGAAAATTTATGTACTCGCTGGATATACCAGCTTTTGTTGACGTAAAACACTTTTATTATGCAGTTTAAGAATTGGCTTGTTGCCCTCTTCAATGTAATGTAAAATAATTCTCTTAGGCCAACTTGCTTCCGCTCAAAAATTTAATGTTTCAATTCCAATTTATTATCATTAGAAAAATTTTAATTCATTTCTCTCTAAATATGTTTAGTTGCAGTTTTTTATTAACTTTTCAATGCGAAATAAAATTTTATTTTTACTCTCAATTAATTAAGTAATTTACAATACGATAATAATAAAATTAAATTAATTATAGTTAAGTTGCCTTTTGGGCCAATTGAGTGCCCTCTCAATTTGCATATTACTTGTTTGTACAGAGCTAACAACAACGCGACCGTGATCGCGTTATGTCAGTAATGTGTCTCGTGCGTGAGAGTTGTTCGAGTTTTTTTAAGTAAAAATATGATTCTTTAATTTGCATTATATTAATTTCTAATTACCAGGTACCGAGTCGCCGTTATTTGTCCTAAAATCATTTGTCTTAAACTGAATTCGTCATTCGTCCTGAAATCAAAGGTCCTAAACAAAGTTGTCCTAAAATTTTCATTTCATTTGTCCTAAATTTCATGTGTCCTAAAAATTTGAAAATCTTGAAAGGGTTTTTTGCTGGAAAAATGCAATCTATGCTCTGCTAAGAAAGGCAATGGAGAGATAAATTGGATTTTTCGTTAACAGGAAGAAAATGCCTATAAATTTCTGATTCATAAAAATGAAAAAAAAAAATTAGAATCAATAAAATTAAAATCCTTGGGATTTAAAATTATTGTTTGTATTCATAATTTTTATTTTTTTCTTTCCGACTAATTATTTGTAGGCTAAACCAATGAAAATATATTATTGAATAGCTCTTTTTATCAACTAACAAGAGTTCCTAGAGTTTTGAGAACAAAATCGCGTGTGACCAAATATTTTGATTTCAAGGATGCATCTCAAGGCGAATTTGTTGCGAGTTGATCTGAAATTTCCAGTGTTTGTTCGCAAGATGATTGTGTCTGATTTTTCGCAAAATAAAAATTGAGGAACAAAAGTCCACTTGTCATTTGAAAAAAAAAACACGCTCCTTAACTGAATAATTGTGAGATGAGCTTGAAAATTGGAATTATGGCTACCGGTTTGTCTCTAGAGAATAATTTGCAAAGCGGACAGAAAATATTATTTAATTTCCATCATTATTTGGACAGTTATAATTTTCCAGAGGAATCTAATTTTTGATGATTTGTTTCCACTGGAGAACTAACAAGGTAGACCTGGCGACATTTTTCACAAGAATTTGTTTGAAATAATTTTTTTTAATTAAATGTTGAATTTTTGTGATAAAAATTGTTTAACGTAAACATTGTACTTTTGAATAAAAAAAATTTTTAATCTTAGTAACATATTTTTTCATCTCACATGCACCGCGAATTATTGATGCTGCCCGCAACTGAAACAGGTAGAGCAGCATTTTTGTTTATATATCAATGCAACCGCGATTTATTTATATTTTTTTTTAATTTGTTCCTTTAGATTGTGTATATGTTTGTTCGTAAATATCTGCATTTTTTTTTTAAAGTTCATGATTACCAGAGAAGGAACGCGCTCCAAGGGGGTTGGAAAATTTTTCAAGCAAAAGAACATGTCCGAACATGTTAAATATCAGATAAAAAAAAAATGGATGTTATCTCTTAACTACAACATAAATGCACTATATTCTGGTATATTTCTTCCCAGTAAAACTTAAATGAGAGCTAACATAAATAGCACACAAAAGGCAGACAATTATCGCAAATTGGCTAGGCTGTAACATAAACTAATGAATAATTTGATAATACAAATAAATTTAAAACAAATCAACCCAGTTTTGTTCACTAATATTTCTGTGATAACATTCTTCATGTGCTGAGCGCACAGAGCGATGCGCTTGTGAAAGGTTGCGCTTGCACTCTGCGCTCGCGATCAGGATTTTAAATCCCGGCTGCGCCCCGCTTTAAGGTGATTCTTCTACAAAATTTTTGCGTTGTAAGGTTTCCGCGGAGTAGTGTGAATCCCATGAGGTTATATTTAATCTAATTTTCATAGATTTTTATATTTTTAAGCCGAAGTTACTTGATGTATTCAACATAGAGAAAGAGAATTTAGCTGTAGCATAGAGTTGTAAACGCTGAGAGCAACGCTGAGAGTGAAAAGGTGCGCGCCGAGTCCTTTCGACGACACCTTCGGCAGGTTGAGAGTGCAGGGCCCATGACTCAAATTAGCTGAATCAAAATTTGTGGCTGATCTTTTGACGAAAAAATAGTCCAACCCCAAAGGCATTCATCCTCGCCGCGCTCTGAGCAAGGAGCAAAAGCTTAGAGTAATTTAACGCTAATTTGTGCCTATTTTTTGTTGTACCAACGGCTTGGTTTCTTTTGATATTAATTTGGAAAAGTTCATTCTCTCAGGTAAAAAAAAGGAGTTAAAGTATTCAGTTAAAGTTAATTAAAGGAAAATAGACTGTTGATCCAAAGCAGTCTCTACATGCCTTTACGATTTAAGTTTTACGTTTAAAGTTAAAAATCTCTCGATTACGATTTTAAGGACCCTTGGTTTATTCTGTTCTGTTTCATTCAAAACAGAATTGGTAATTAATAACGAAAAGTGGATCACAGTGGAACAAAAATTAATTATACTATGCTGCGTTTTTAAATCCAAAAATATTTTGCTTAAAAAAAAAAACTTTATCATAATAATAGTTAAAAGTTATAAACAACTTGAATAAAAAATTATAGAAATAAACATAAAGCTCAAATCCAATAAAAGAATAAAGTTAAAGGTTTTAAGTAATAATATTTAAACAGTTTTAAAAGAGTAAAATTACAAAGATAGGATGCAAACCTCTGGCGGCCGGCGCTGCCGAACGCGACGCCGCGGGTCGGTTTTGCGCGGTGAAAAGTTCAGGGGCCGCGAAAAGCACGCGTAAAAAACCGAGTTCGCAATTTTTTCACCGCTCCTATCGGAGGCCGAATTATTCTCCTGGACGCGACAAAATTTGCTGGAAATCGCTGCTCGGTCGACTTGTTTGCTTGATTTGACTGCCCGCGCCGCTCAGCCAGCACATTAAATTGATTATATACTTCGCTTAATTTTTTTTAAATAAACGTTAAATTTGATATGCGACTCCGTTCGCTGGTTTTGGCTGCACGCGCGGCTCAGCCACATTAAATTCGAAGTGTTGATTGCTGAATGTTGTTATCAGTTTCTTTTTGCTGCTAGAATAAAAAAAAATTAAATTAACAAATAATTCTTTATTAGCGATACTTATCATTTCAACAACATTTTGTATTATTAAAAATAAAATCTTATTGGTCTAAAAATTTGCTTTCAATTGAAGTTCCTTTTTGTTTATTCTAATAAATGAAGGTATTTAGTTAAAAAATAAAATAATTTTTTCAATTCACACAATTGTTTTAATTGATGATGCAACCAAATAGCCTAATCCAGCAAACGTAGCCGCATTATTAAATTTAGCGCGTTCATTTAAATAAAATTATCAGTGTTGTAAGCATCGCTAGTAAAGAATTATTAGTTAATTTAATTTTTTTTATTCAAGCAGCAAAAAGAAACTGATATCAACACTTCGCATTTAATGTGGCTGAGCCGCGCGTGCAGCCAAAACCAGCAAACGGGGAGTCGCATATCAAATTTAACACGTTTATTTAAAATAAAAAATCAGTTGTCATAATCCCTAATGAAGTATTAGTTACTATTTTAATTTTGTAAATTCTAGCATCACAAAGAATCTGAAAACAAAACTCAGCAAATTGCAGTTTGTATATTTAATAGGCCGAGCCGCGCGCGGGCAGCCGAATCCAGCATTCGCAGTCGCATTTTCAATTAAACCCGTGAAAAATTTAAAAAGTAGCTTTAAGCATTTTTAAATTATAATTGAGAATCGTTCTCGGAGGCCGGCGCAGTTATCGGGGCGATGCAAGTTTAGCACCCAACGTGCGCGGGTTGGCGACGATTTTTCAACATCGCAGTGACGGGTCATTCATTATTATACATATAGAAGAAGAAAGGGGCCCCTTTTGAGTCCCCTTCTTCTTGCCAGTACACCATCGCGCCAAGGAAAAGAAAGATAAACAATCCTACCTCTCTTAAGATTCAGCACCGGGAAATCAGGACGCTCACTTGTGTTTGTGTCCGCAAGCTACCCCGTCACAAAGTTCCGCTTTTTGAAAATTGGTATCCTAAAAACAGAAAAAAAACACCAAGATTAGTACCGAAATTATGGTTATAATTTATTTATTATAATTATTATATATAATTATATTTATTACATAATTATATCCCTCGTTAGAAAATAGATGTTAAAATAATTTTTTTTTCATAGATCCCAAAATTAATTTTTTAGATTTAATTTAAAACATAACTTGAAACTCAAAAGATTTCAGCAAAATTCAATCAACAGAGTCGAAGTACTTCATTAATTAAATAAAAAAAAATTATTTGGATATGATTATTCTTTTTCGGTACTTTGTTGGCGCGCCGGCCAGCCCAGTTGGGTAAGAGCTTGCACGGGAGGACTCGGGGCGCAGAAATTTCACTTAAATTGTAAAATGATAGAAAATGATAATTATTTTAACTGGGTTTGCTGCATAATTTAATCAATTCTATATTGTATTGTAAGTTGTTGGAATCATTTTGATTATTGTCAAAAAGATTTTTTTCTAAATTTATAATTTTGACTCTATTAGTGTGTTTTCTGCAAAACCATTAATTAATATTTATGTAAAGCGGTTTGCTGGAATTAAATTTGAAATCCAACCGATTAAAAGAATTTTAAACTAGAGATTCCAACGATCAAGCATCACAAAAATTAGAGCAAATTGTGAATGTTGCTCAAACAACAATGAAAGTAATATTAAATTTCATTGTTGTGATGCGTGACCTTGTTCGGCCTGGGCCTGTCACTTAATAAGCCAATTTTTTTCAGTACTTTGTTGGCGCGCCGGCCAGCCCAGTTGGGTAAGAGCTTGCACGGGAGGACTCGGGGCGCAGAATACTAATCCCCGGGGCCCATACCATGCAGGGTTCCAATCCTGACGGGGCTGGCCTTTTTCACACCTTTTTGTAGGTCCAATTGCATTACAAATCACATTTACTTATAAAAAAAACTTGCATATTGAATTAAAAAAATTATTATTGAATAAAATAATTAAATAACACATATTTTCGGGCACGATCTTCAAGGGCTCGTAATCATTTGCATATTTTATTATTAATATTTTATTATTTTAATTCAAGGAAGGCAGATAAGAATCAGCGGCAGAGAAGAAACCCGGCCCTGTCGCCTCCGCGCGTATTCAAATCCGTTTAACTCGCTTTGACAGAAAAATGAAATTTCACTTAAATTGTAAAATGCCATGATAGAAAAAGATAATAATTTTAACTGGGTTTGCTGCATAATTTAATCAATTCTATATTGTAAGTTGTTGGAATCATTTTGATTATTGTCAAAATGATTTTTTTCTAAATGATTATAATTTTCAAAACTAACATTTTAAAAGTATTATTTAATCAAAATTAATTAAAAATAAAAAACTCTTTTCGAAAGTTTCAAACCGAATTCAATTTACTCACAATTTTGACTCTATTAGTGTGTTTTCTGCAAAACCATTAATTAATATTTATGTAAAGCGGTTTGCTGGAATTAAATTTGAAATCCAACCGAATAAAAGAATTTTAAACTAGAGATTCCAACGATCAAGCATCAAAAAAATTAGAGCAAATTGTGAATGTTGCTCAAACAACAATGAAAGTAATATTAAATTTCATTGTTGTGATGCGTGACCTTGTTCGGCCTGGGCCTGTCACTTAATAAGCCAATTTTTTTCGGTACTTTGTTGGCGCGCCGGCCAGCCCAGTTGGGTAAGAGCTTGCACGGGAGGACTCGGGGCGCAGAATACTAATCCCCGGGGCCCATACCATGCAGGGTTCCAATCCTGACGGGGCTGGCCTTTTTCACACCTTTTTGTAGGTCCAATTGCATTTCAAATCACATTTACTTATAAAAAAAACTTGCATATTGAATTAAAAAAATTATTATTGCATAAAATAATTAAATAACACATATTTTCGGGCACGATCTTCAAGGGCTCGTAATCATTTGCATATTTTATTATTAATATTTTATTATTTTAATTCAAGGAAGGCAGATAAGAATCAGCGGCAGAGAAGAAACCCGGCCCTGTCGCCTCCGCGCGTATTCAAATCCGTTTAACTCGCTTTGACAGAAAAATGAAATTTCACTTAAATTGTAAAATGCCATGATAGAAAAAGATAATAATTTTAACTGGGTTTGCTGCATAATTTAATCAATTCTATATTGTAAGTTGTTGGAATCATTTTGATTATTGTCAAAAAGATTTTTTTCTAAATGATTATAATTTTCAAAACTAACATTTTAAAAGTATTATTTAATCAAAATTAATAAAAAATAAAAAACTCTTTTCGAAAGTTTCAAACCGAATTCAATTTACTCACAATTTTGACTCTATTAGTGTGTTTTCTGCAAAACCATTAATTAATATTTATGTAAAGCGGTTTGCTGGAATTAAATTTGAAATCCAACCGAATAAAAGAATTTTAAACTAGAGATTCCAACGATCAAGCATCAAAAAAATTAGAGCAAATTGTGAATGTTGCTCAAACAACAATGAAAGTAATATTAAATTTCATTGTTGTGATGCGTGACCTTGTTCGGCCTGGGCCTGTCACTTAATAAGCCAATTTTTTTCGGTACTTTGTTGGCGCGCCGGCCAGCCCAGTTGGGTAAGAGCTTGCACGGGAGGACTCGGGGCGCAGAATACTAATCCCCGGGGCCCATACCATGCAGGGTTCCAATCCTGACGGGGCTGGCCTTTTTCACACCTTTTTATAGGTCCAATTGCATTTCAAATCACATTTACTTATAAAAAAAAACTTGCATATTGAATTAAAAAAATTATTGTTGAATAAAATAATTAAATAACACATATTTTCGGGCACGATCTTCAAGGGCTCGTAATCATTTGCATATTTTATTATTAATATTTTATTATTTTAATTCAAGGAAGGCAGATAAGAATCAGCGGCAGAGAAGAAACCCGGCCCTGTCGCCTCCGCGCGTATTCAAATCCGTTTAACTCGCTTTGACAGAAAAATGAAATTTCACTTAAATTGTAAAATGCCATGATAGAAAAAGATAATAATTTTAACTGGGTTTGCTGCATAATTTAATCAATTCTATATTGTAAGTTGTTGGAATCATTTTGATTATTGTCAAAAAGATTTTTTTCTAAATGATTATAATTTTCAAAACTAACATTTTAAAAGTATTATTTAATCAAAATTAATAAAAAATAAAAAACTCTTTTCGAAAGTTTCAAACCGAATTCAATTTACTCACAATTTTGACTCTATTAGTGTGTTTTCTGCAAAACCATTAATTAATATTTATGTAAAGCGGTTTGCTGGAATTAAATTTGAAATCCAACCGAATAAAAGAATTTTAAACTAGAGATTCCAACGATCAAGCATCACAAAAATTAGAGCAAATTGTGAATGTTGCTCAAACAACAATGAAAGTAATATTAAATTTCATTGTTGTGATGCGTGACCTTGTTCGGCCTGGGCCTGTCACTTAATAAGCCAATTTTTTTCGGTACTTTGTTGGCGCGCCGGCCAGCCCAGTTGGGTAAGAGCTTGCACGGGAGGACTCGGGGCGCAGAATACTAATCCCCGGGGCCCATACCATGCAGGGTTCCAATCCTGACGGGGCTGGCCTTTTTCACACCTTTTTATAGGTCCAATTGCATTTCAAATCACATTTACTTATAAAAAAAACTTGCATATTGAATTAAAAAAATTATTGTTGAATAAAATAATTAAATAACACATATTTTCGGGCACGATCTTCAAGGGCTCGTAATCATTTGCATATTTTATTATTAATATTTTATTATTTTAATTCAAGGAAGGCAGATAAGAATCAGCGGCAGAGAAGAAACCCGGCCCTGTCGCCTCCGCGCGTATTCAAATCCGTTTAACTCGCTTTGACAGAAAAATGAAATTTCACTTAAATTGTAAAATGCCATGATAGAAAAAGATAATAATTTTAACTGGGTTTGCTGCATAATTTAATCAATTCTATATTGTAAGTTGTTGGAATCATTTTGATTATTGTCAAAATGATTTTTTTCTAAATGATTATAATTTTCAAAACTAACATTTTAAAAGTATTATTTAATCAAAATTAATTAAAAATAAAAACCTCTTTTCGAAAGTTTCAAACCGAATTCAATTTACTCACAATTTTGACTCTATTAGTGTGTTTTCTGCAAAACCATTAATTAATATTTATGTAAAGCGGTTTGCTGGAATTAAATTTGAAATCCAACCGAATAAAAGAATTTTAAACTAGAGATTCCAACGATCAAGCATCACAAAAATTAGAGCAAATTGTGAATGTTGCTCAAACAACAATGAAAGTAATATTAAATTTCATTGTTGTGATGCGTGACCTTGTTCGGCCTGGGCCTGTCACTTAATAAGCCAATTTTTTTCGGTACTTTGTTGGCGCGCCGGCCAGCCCAGTTGGGTAAGAGCTTGCACGGGAGGACTCGGGGCGCAGAATACTAATCCCCGGGGCCCATACCATGCAGGGTTCCAATCCTGACGGGGCTGGCCTTTTTCACACCTTTTTATAGGTCCAATTGCATTTCAAATCACATTTACTTATAAAAAAAAACTTGCATATTGAATTAAAAAAATTATTGTTGAATAAAATAATTAAATAACACATATTTTCGGGCACGATCTTCAAGGGCTCGTAATCATTTGCATATTTTATTATTAATATTTTATTATTTTAATTCAAGGAAGGCAGATAAGAATCAGCGGCAGAGAAGAAACCCGGCCCTGTCGCCTCCGCGCGTATTCAAATCCGTTTAACTCGCTTTGACAGAAAAATGAAATTTCACTTAAATTGTAAAATGCCATGATAGAAAAAGATAATAATTTTAACTGGGTTTGCTGCATAATTTAATCAATTCTATATTGTAAGTTGTTGGAATCATTTTGATTATTGTCAAAATGATTTTTTTCTAAATGATTATAATTTTCAAAACTAACATTTTAAAAGTATTATTTAATCAAAATTAATTAAAAATAAAAACCTCTTTTCGAAAGTTTCAAACCGAATTCAATT